CGAAGCCCTCATGAAATTCAGTGACCTTATAATAGAGATCTAATGAACTTCTTCACCCAAATGATAACAGCAAGAAGATGGCTATGAACTAGAAGTGGGTTCTCACTAGACACCAGATTTGCTGGTGCCTTGATCTTGGATTCCTGGTCTCCGAAACTGTAAGAAATAAATTTTTCTTTTAAGAAACATTGTTTACTCACCTATTTTATGGTATTTTTGTCACAATAGCCCAAACTAAGACAAAGGCCTTAATAAAGCAAAGACCTACCTTCCCCCAAAGGAATTTCTCTAGCAGAGTGTGTTAAAACTGGAACTGCAACTCTTCCCTGGGTTTCCAGCCAGTCGGTCCATCCTGTAGATTTTATTTTTATTTATTGATTTGAGAGAGAGTGGGAGAGATGTTTATGTATTGCTCCACCCATTTATACATTCATTCATTGGTTGACTTTATAAATAATATTTATTTACTGCTTAATAATGTAAGCTTTTTGTTGTTGTTGGATATTTTTTCCATTGATTTTTAGAGAGAGTAGAAGGGAGGGGGGGGAGAGAGAGAGAGAGAGAGAGAGAGAGAGAACACATTGATTCGTTGCCTCTCACATGCAACCCAACTGGGGCTGGGGATCGAACTGCAACCAGGTACATGCTCTTGACCAGGAATCAAACCTGCTACCCTTTGATACACAGGCCAACACTAATCACTGAGCACACCAGCCATGGCTCATTGGTTGATTCTTATATGAGCCCTGACTTGAAATCAAACCCACAACTTTGGTGTACTGGGAGGACACTCCAACCAAGTGAGCTACCTGGCCAAGGCTTGCCTATAGATTTTAGACTTGCCAGCCCCCACAATCATGTGAGCAAATTCCTTGGAATCAATCTCTTTCTGTATACATACACGTGCTGTTGGTCCCATTTCTCTGGAGAATCCTGAGGTATACACTGAGGTATTTCCGTCTCTGATCCAATCCTGGCCCCCTGCCAGAAATCTTGCATTCTTTCCTCTAATTATCTCTGATCTCAGACAAAATGTTAACCAAACGGTCCCTACCTGTCAAGGAGGACTTCAGGTAACTCACTGTGTCTCTTTCAGGGTTAACACGAATTTTTTACTGAAGAGAATTATTTTCTAAGGGAGAATGAATGTCAAGGGCAGCTTTGATTTGCCAGAGTCCTAGATTATTGATCACCTGGCTGGTTTTGATACTATTCCTCCCTTGAAAGGATCAGATCCTTGATAATCATTGTAGTGAATTGAATGGGGCCCCCATGAAGATCTGTTCATTGGAACCTCTGATTGTCACCTTAATTGGAAGAAGGGTCTTTGCAGATGTAATTAAGTTAAGGATTTTTAGATGTGATCATCAGGATTGCTTGGGCTGGCTCTAATTCCAATGATGTGTGTTTCTAAGACACAGAGAAGTGTCATATGAAGACAGAGGCAGAGTTTGGAATAATGTGGCCACAAGCTCTGGGATGCCTGGCACTACCAGAAGCTGATGTGACAAATTGCTACAAACTTGGTGGCTTAAAACAACAAAAATGTATTCTCGCATAGTTCTGAAGGCCAGAAGCATGAAATCAAGGTATTTAAGGCAGTAGGGACAGATGCCTCTTTGCCTCCTCCAGCTTTGTTGGCACCAGCAGATGCTCAGCTTATGATCATGTCACTGTAGTCTGCCTCCATCTTCATATGGCTATCTCTTGTATATCCTCTCTTCTGTCATGTTTACTCATCTTATAAGGACATTTTTCATGGGGCTTAAGGCTCACCCAGGTAATCCAGGGTGATCTATTCTCCAGATCTTTAACTGGATTACATCTGAAAAGGCTCTTTTTCCAAATAAGGTCACATCCATAGGTTCTAGAGGTTAGGACATGGACTTATCTTTGGGAGGGAGGTGGTACACAACTCAACACACTGCACGTGCCTTTATCCCCAACCAGTTTCCCAGTGTCTTCTCTTCCTCTCCCTGGGGCCATGTTTCAATCTCAGTTTGTTTTTTAAAATGTTTTTTTATTGACTTTAGAGAGAGGAAGGGAGAGGGAGAGAGAGATAGAAACATCAATGATGAAAGATAATCATCGATCGGCTGCCTCCTGCACTACTCCTACTGAGGAGCCGCAACCTGGGCATGTGGGTGTATTGAACTGTGACCTCCTGGTTCATAGGTCAATGCTCAACCACTGAGCCACACTGGCTGCGCTCAATCTAATTTTATATGCAGGTTGTGATTATTACTACTGCCTGCTTATACTAGGTTCTCAGAGATTTTGAATGAATGTTCTCTCTCCCAAGGTTATTTGCTATAACGTGGGATTTGTTCCTAGAGTGAAGCCTATGAAACTCCTGGGGTCTTCATCGCTACTCAAGGAGGAGGGAATCACAGGGAACTCAGGAGCCATGGCCACTGGTCTGAATGGTCCTGCATTACTCAGCTGATCAACCCTGGAGTCATGATATCTGGACCTTGACCCAGGTGCTCACAAGCCTCACGTTCTAATGCTTTCTGGCTCATCAGAAAATTGCATGAGGCAAATTGCTTTTTGTAAAAACCTCCTTCCTTGAATCTTGCCTTTTTATAATGTGCTTCTGTGCTGAGAGCTATATAGAAGGGCTTCGGAGACTGGCTCCCAGATTTTGTGGATAAACTATGTGATGATTAGAAATGCATGAGAAGCCTGGCCAGTGTAGCTCAGTGGTTGAGGGTAAACCCATGAACAGGGTATCAGGGATCAATTCCCCGCCAGGGCACATGCCTGGGCTGTGGGCTCGATTCCCATTAGGGGGGCATGCAGGAGGCAGTGGATCAACAATTCTCTCTCATCATTGATGTTTCTATCTCTATCCTTTCCTCTCTCTGAAATCAAGAAAAACATATAGCTAAAAGAAAAAGAAAAGAAAAGAAATGCATGAGAAGGCCTATTGCCTGGGAGGGGGAAAATGGGTCAGATACACATACCTTGGCCTAAATTACTTCACTTTTTATGAGCCTCTGCACTTGATTTGCTTCAAGATGAGAGGCTAGAAGCAGTTACCTGACTCTTATCTCCTTGGGGCGTAGGAGCCTGCCTTTCTTGTGAGTGTGCCACTTTGCTGAGAGTTGTTTGCAATGTGGCATCAGGAAGATTCCATGCCCACAAAAAGTGGGCCTCATGGAAAAGTGCTCCAATCGTATTAAAGTTTTGGTGAATACAGCCAAGTAAATTGATGTGCTCAATATATTTCTTTTTTAGACAATGAAGAATTTGCAAACATAAACCATCCAAAAGACACCTGAAGGTACTACAATTCTAAAACCCAATTCTGTGGGTGTTCCCACAGCTGTGGACTGGAGAAAACATGATGGGTGACTGCTGTTGAAGACCAGGTATCTACTGTCTGCTCCACTTCTCGGGATTAGAACACAAGTTTACTACAAACTGAGGAAGTTAATCATGGACGGGAACTGCAGCATTGCCACTTCTGGTGGCCTCATGAGATGCTCATCGAAAGCAGGTGTTTAATGACTATTGTCTAGTGTTTCACACCATTCCTCGCACTTCCATTCACTTTATTTTTTAATTTACTATTATTTTAATGTATTTTTATTTATTTCAGAGAGGAAGGGAGAGGGAGAGAGGGATATAAACATCAATGATGAGAGAATCACCAATTGGCTGCCCCCTGCACGTCCCCTACTGGGGATCAAGCCCACAACCCAGGTATGTGCATGAAATCAAGGTATTTAAGACCGTTTTGTCTTTTAGTTGTATTTTTGAAGTTGTTGTGCGAGGTAGCAATTTCTGGTGTTTACATGTGCCGCCATCTTGGTTTCTCCCAGTGGCCATCTTTTTAAAAAATATATTTTATTGATTTTTTACAGAGAGGAAGGGAGAGAGATAGTCAGAAACATCGATGAGAAACATCGATCAGCCGACTCCTGCACATCCCCCTCTGGGGATGTGCCCGCAACCCAGGTACATGCCCTTGACCGGCCAGTGGCCATCTTTTTAAAAAATATATATTTTTATTGATTTCAAAGAGGAAGGAAGAGGGAGAGATGGAAATATCAATGATGAGAATCATTGATCAGCTGCCTCCTACACGCCCCCCCCCCCCACTGGGGATCAAGCCCACAACCCAGGCATTAGAATCCAGCCTTGATTGGAATCGAACCTGGGACCTTGCTGGAGCACCTAGTTCTGTGCAAATTTAGTGAATGCACATCTGGTCAGACTTTTGGCTTCTTGAGCACTGAGGGTTAGTGAAGCCTTTATATCATGGCCAGAGTATCATCCTAATTTTTTAAAAAGCCAAGACATTTTAGATAAATGGGATAACCAGACGGGAGACCAAGATAAATATGGTTTACCTATCCTCAGCCCCCATTCCCCCAACTGGGTGGGTCAATGTTTGCTGAAAATGCAAAGTGCTGGTAAAATTTCCACAAGTTTATACTCTTTCTCACTCAATCTTCTTCTGGGAAAACACTTAAAAATATCCAGAAATATGCCTGGCTGGTGTAGCTCAGTGGTTGAGCGTTGACCTATGAACCAGGAGGTCAGAGTTTGATTCCTGGTCAGGGTACATGCTGGGATGCTAGCTCAATCCCCAGTGTGGGGCATGCAGGAGGCAGCCGATCAATGACTCTCTGTCATCATTGACGTTTCTATTTCTCTCTGAAATCAATAAAAAAAAAATTAAAAATCTAGAAATCTCACCCTGAATTTACCTTCAGTGGGCTGGAGGCATGTTCTGTCGCTTCTCAGAGCACACAGACACATTCAAAGGGGCTCCAGCTTAATTTTGATGGAGTAGACTTACCCTGACTCTCAGATGTGCCTTTTCTGACCAGCAACATTTTCTAGGCAAGTGTTCCAGCCCCTCCATATTTTGACAAGATGTAGCAACATAAGTTATCATCAAATCCCCTACATCACACTCTGAACTCTGCTTCTGCCAGAAAGGGAAAACCATCTTATGGGAGAAAAGTGACAGACTACCAAAAGTTTTATTTTGGGTGAAGGTTTTTTAATAACCTTTACCAACTTAGGCTCTTTGGGAGAATAAAGACCACACTCCACAGTGGACTATATCACTAAACATATAGCCCATTACTATTTTGTGGCCTACATTACAAAAAAGAAAAAAAAAAGTGACAGACTGATATCCAAGGCAGGTGCAGACTCATACCTTCTCACCACTGGTCACATCACTCAGCTAGGGGGAGAGGTTGGGAGAAAGGATATAGGACAACGGTGAGGTCAGGTTAACCAGCTATAGTGTGACAAGGAGTACCCCTGGTGTAGTGGCTTCCTCTGTACTTTGGACAGGGGTCAGATCAGGTGAGCAGACCATCTATCTGAGGCTTAAATGTGCCACAAGGTGAAGTCTGACACCCAGAGGACTATTTTCATCCTTATACCTCAAGCTTACCTTGTCAGGCCAATCAATTATCTCAGCTATGCAGCACATTACTTTTTAAACTACATGGAAAGTCTAACATGAATATTAATTCAGCAAGTTAATTTTTATTATGTACTTATGAGTTTGTGGAAACAATGTCCAGAGATCCAAGGAACAGGGAGGGCAGATGCTTCTCAGATGTGGGCCTGTACTTCCATAGTAAGGTGGAGATGTAGCTCACCTGCCTGCCCATCCCCCAGGGAGGGAGTAAGTGGTCAGTTCTCTGGTGCCTGGAGGAGCAAGTAACCACACTGGCCTCTTTGGAATGGGATGAACGGGATTCGAGCTACATCATTCTGGAGGGCTTCTAAATCCTAAGTGATTGACCTTCCAATTAGGTAGGTACTAGGTGTATTGGGTCAGTGAGTGGGGGGTTCCCCACAGTATTCGGTGGGGACTCAAGACGCAGTCACATCCCCTTGGTGTTTTTTTATTTAGGATCTGGTTTTACAGGTAAGACACAACAGTAAATGGGGCAATGTTCCTCCATTAGACACATGTCTGAAGCAGGTGGAGAACCATCTTCCAGCTGACAAGCCCTTGAGCAAGAGTGTATGAGGGTGGGGCAAATGTATAACCTGGCTTCTATTTGGAATTCCCTCCTCAATAGCCTTAAAGATTCACTTTCCCCCTTTTCCTGGCAGATCAATAAGAGGCAAACTATTTAGAAATGAAGAACCCCAATATTTATTTTTTGTTCAGGGTATGATCTAACATTTTTATTGCATTTACTGCTCCTCAGGATGCAGGGATGTCTACAGTAATCAGAATTATAAAACCTGTGGCTCTTCCATTGGGTTTGATGGCATCTCATGTGACAATATAGGTGACAAGGAGCCTGGCTGCCTGCTGATGGACATACAATAGCACAAAATGTCCACCTGGTAGCTGTGAATCAGCTACTGCTACTCCATAGTCCCTGTGCTTTCTTGACATTGAGCCTGGCCGATATTACCAGTCTTCCAGGAACAATAAGACCATGGTTTTCGTTGCTTGAGATTTCACAGCCAATGGTCACTCCCAATCCAGAACTCCAGGTCACACACTTTCAAAGCTATACTGCTTCCAGTGGAACGGACAGCAAGCCAACCACAGCTTCTGTTGACTCATCTGTTAATCAGGGATGACCAGATAATTGCAAGACTATCTGCTGTTGGGGATTGAATTGTCTCCCTACCACCCCAAATTCATATTTACGTCCTAACCCCAATACATCAGAATGTGGCCTTCCTTAGAATATGGTCATTGTGGATGTTACTAGTTAAGACAGGAATATACCAGAGTAGACATGGGGGTCCTGATCCCATATGGTGTCCTTATAAAAAGGGGAAATTTGGAGACAGACATGTACACAGGGACACAACATGAAGATGAAGGCAGAGATGGGTTAATATTTCTACAAGGAACATCATCGACTGCCAGCACCACCAGAAACTGGGGGAGAGGTGTGGAACAGACCTTCCCTTACAGGGAACCAACCCAGTGACCCCTTGACATTGGACTTCCAGCCTCCAGAACTGAAGCAATATATTTCTGTTGCTCTAAGTCACCCTGGTTTTGGTATTTTGTTAAGGCAGCCCTAGCAAATGAATATGAACAGCAGACTAAGTTACTATGTATGAAGAGCCCAACCTCACAGGAGGTTTTTTCCACTGCCCCTCATCCAGACAACAGAACCCCCCACTGGGTGAGCTCCCCATTCCAGAACACAATGGGACAAGCAGGGGAACTTAAGTGCCTTTCAAATGATGACAACTGCTTCTACCCCACAACTATTTACCGGGTCCTTCAGGTACAAAGAAATGACATTCGAGCAGGGTGTGCAACAAATAAAATGTGGGCATTGCCCTCAGTGAACTCAAAATCCCTAATAAGCAGCTGCCTTCGCAAATAAAAGTATGACACAATTCCCCTTCGCAAGCAGCTGTACAGCGCCCCAGAGGTTTCTGACCCTGACAGGGCTGCCTGGTAACAGCGGGTGTTCTTTGGGTCAGCTGGTGACATGGCAGGATTGGTGTGCCTGGCCTTGCTGCCCACATGCACTCCCTGCCTTTTTCTCACCCACAGCTTCTTGCTCTCAGATGGGAAGTACAGTCACTCTAGAACCTCAATATATGGGCAGGGGTTCAGACAAGGCAGCATGGGAGTATAGTGAGTTGGTGGCAAGGGACAAACCCCAAATGGTCACTGCAGTTGGGGCAGTCCAGTCCCTTAGACCGCTTGGGAAGCACTGGACAGGGCTCTCTTCTGACTGAGAAACACTGGGCGAGTCCAAGCTGGTTATGCACCTCCCTCCCTGCTTTTTGGCACAGCAGAGACAAAAGAAATACTCAGTTGATCACTATCTCATTTCTACCTGAGAGCGAAGGGTGGGAAGGTGAGGTCTGTCCAGGGGCAGGTACATCCCGGGAGTGCCTGGCGTTAGTCAGTAAGAGTTGAGAGCCTGCTTGGAGCGGCGTTTCATATGCAGGCGCTGGTGGCGCAGGAGATCGGAGTTGTGCAGGAAACTTTTAACGCAGTACCGGCACCGAAAGGGCCGTGCCCGGTCCTTACCGTGCACACTGCTGCGGTGCCTCGCCAGGTGTTCCGGTCGCTGGAACAGCTTCCCGCAGTCACAGCACTGGATGCTCAGCCGGGCCCGGCCCTCAGCCAGGGATGCATCAGGCCCCCCACCTGTGGACTCTGCCGCCCCCTGCTCGCTCCCAATCACAGGCAGGGCCCCGGTGGGCGGCAGGTGGACCCGCCTGTGGCAGAGCAGGTGCGAGTTGAGGCGGAAGCCCTTCCCGCAGGCGCCGCACCGGAAAGGTTTCCGGGCCTCGTGGGCTTCCAGGTGCCCGTCCAGGTCCTCACTGTCACTGAACAGCTCCCCACATACCGAGCACTCGTGCAGCTTCTCCTGCTCCCTGCGGCTGCGCAGGTGTCGGATGAAATTGACCCTCCAGCGGAAGACCTTGCCGCAGTTGGGGCACACATAGGACTTCCCAGAGGTATGCACCTCGCCCCCCACAGACAGGCCATTCTGCTGAGGCATGGGGGTGCCGTTTTGCTTCCCCAAGGGGCTCCGTGTCTCATCTGTGCAGTAGGGGCCCAGTTGGGAGTCTTCATCCCCAGAGCTGGATAGGACAATCTCGATGGTCACCTCCTCATCCAGGCTGTTCTTAGGGGGCGGTGGGTCATCTCCAGCTGCAGGAAAGCAATGTGGAGGTCACTTAGAGTTGCTGATGGAATAGGTATGACATTGGGGGCTATGGGGAAAGGGTGAATGTATTTTGAATGTGAGGACATGAACTTAGGGGATCCGAGGGTGGAGCGCTAAGGGCAGAACTGCATCCCCCCAAAATTCCTACTATGCTTAAGTCATAACCCCAAATACCTCAGGATGTGACTATATTTGGAATTAAGGTCCTTCAAGAGTTAAGTTAAAATGAGATTATTAGAGTGGCTTGTAAGCCAACTGGCATCCTTCCAAGAAGATATTAAGAAACAGACACGTGGAAGCTCAGGGAGAAGACAGCCGGCCAAGACTTGCTGTAGGAGAAGCCCCTTTTGATACCTGGACCTCAGACCTCCAGCATTTTGAGAAAATCAATTTCTGTTGCTTGAGCCTCCTTAGAAGACTAATATAGTGCATACAGGATGACAACCCCTCAAATCAGCTAAAGTGACAAAAAATAAATGCAATTTCTAAAACGGGGCATAAACAACCCTTAGTGCTCCTGTGGGCCATTTACACAATGTTAGGAATTATTGCTAGATGAGGTGGGATTCAGCAGAGAGCTCCAAACACCAGAGAAACAGTAAAATCAGGGAGTGATGAGTATAGAAGGAGGTGTGTGGGGGGACACAAACACTGAACCCCGTGATAGGTACTCTTGATGTTTTCGTTCTGCCCCTGGGGCTCTTGAATAGAAGTCGCTGACCCAGGGTGCACCGTGACAGGCCATGGGTGTCAGACTGAGGATCTGAATGTGGGCTGTCAAGCCCCATGTTCGGGCTTGACTCCACATTGCCTAGCCATAGCCTGCCTTTTCTATGAAGTCAAAATTATGGGTCTGAATCTGTTGCATCTTATTTGCACATAATCCCTCCCATTTTTCTTTTCTTTTTTTTTTTAAATTTTATGTATATTGTTTCGGCACATTTGTTTTTCACAGTTTTAAAATGCAACACATTTATTCATCTCCTTTTTGGTTTTGCCTTACAAGAAAGCTTCCCCATCCTAACATTGTAAGAATATATCCTTTATAATGCCTTTGTCTTTTGTTTTTCACATCTGGCTTCCTAGGCTCCCTGCTTTTCTCCTCAATCCCTCCAGCTCATCCCCAGGCCACGCACAGCATGGCCACAGGCTTCAGTAACCCCAATTCCCCGACTGAGCTCAATTCCCCTGACACGTTGGGCAACTTTCTTTCTCTTTTAATTTTTTTTCTGTAAAACAGAGCTAGGAATCAGAACTGCCTTTTGGGGTTACTGTTGAAGATTACACATGATTTAATACATATGCAGGCACCCACCCTGTATATCATGAGGCTGCTATGGGCAGGCAGAGGCCAGAGAAGGCCGGAAGTGCACATGTGGCAACAAGCATTCATCTAGCCCCACTGAGATGGCCACCCTCATCCTGGGGAGGGGCCATCCTCAGTTATGCAAGGCCACTCTCAGCCTGTTGCAGGCACCTGAGAAAACCAGGAGTGAGGGAGCTCAAAGGTTTGGGGAGGGGCTATTCTCCTTCTGGATCTGTTGTAAATGTAGAATTCCTTTTGTCTACATGTGACGGGGTGAACAGAAATAGCAGGGAGCCCTGCACAGAGCTAGGTGGAATTACCACAATGCCAGACAACTTTTTTTTTTTTTCTGAATCTTGGCTTCACCCCAGAATCATCTGGAGAATTCTTTTTTTATTTTTTAAATTATTTATTGTTGAAAGTATTATGTCCCCCTTTGTCCCCCATTGACCCTCTCCAACGCGCCCCATCCCTCCCCCCACCACACACACACAGGTCTTCAGCACCCTACTGTTTGTGTTATGCACATATGCATACAAGATCTTTGGTTGATTACCTCCCGCTCAACCATTCTCCCCCACCTTCCCTCTGAGATTCCACACTCCGTCCCAGGCTTCCATGTCTCTGGATCCACTCTGTTCATCAGTTTCTTTTGTTAATTACAATCCATATATGAGTGAGATCATGTGATACTTGTCTTTCTCTTAACTTATTTCACTTAGCATGATATTCTCCAAGTCCCTCCATGCTGTCTCAAAGGGTAAAAGATTCTTCTTTTTTACTGCTGCATAGCATTCCATGGTATAAATGTACCACAACTTTTTTATCCACTCATCTACTGATGGGCACTTGGGCTATTTCCAGATCTTAGCTATTGTAAATTGTGCTGCTATGAACATAGGGGATGCATACATTCTTTGCCAGACAACTCTTGCTCCAAAAGGCATCTTGGGTAAAAGACTATACATGAGTCAGACACCACAGCTGTGGAAAGTCTCATCACACAGTGGGTTTGAGTATGAACCAGAGACTAATATAATACTGTATGTCAACTGGAATTTCAAAAAAGAACCAGTGACTCAGGTTTGGTGTCTGGGAGAACACCTTAACCCCAAGGGCATTAAAGATGGCCACACTGCCCGCTGATGTGGCTCAGTGGTTGAGCATCAGCCCATGAACCAAGAGGTCACTGGTTTGATTCCTGGTTAGGACACATGCCTGGGTTTGTGGGTTCGATCCCCAGGATCAGGTGTGTAGGAAGCGGCCTATTGTTCCTATCTCTGTATCCCTCTCACTTAAAAGATTCCTCTTTCTCTAAAGATCAATAAAAACATATTTTTAAAAAAATGATGGCCACATTTCAGTCTTTGCCTCTGGACTTTTACCAACATGACCCTATGAGGCAGGTGGGGGACACTCAGAGTCCCTTCCGCAGGCATGACACACTCCTGCTCTTTAGGTCCAAGACTTTGCCCAGGACTCTGGCTTTTGTGCTCAGGGAAGAAACACATCCCGAATGGCCAGTAGCACTGTGGCGCACCTGCTTCAACCTGCCAGGATAAGGCCAGGAGGGGAGGGTCTTGGGCTGGAACTCAGCTGGGAGAGACCCTAGCAAAAGGGAACCCAGCACAATAAGCTGACAACTCACAGGAGCCATCGGTCAGCAAGGACCTCAGGGAGTTCAATCCCTGACTGCACCCACACCAGCAAACGTGCATGCACACACCATACACGTTCACACTTCCACACACAACATACCAGACACTATACACACACAACATGCACATGCACACACCACACAGCAGATACCACATGTACTCATATGCTCACATATGTATCACACACCCCATACCCTCCCAGGCCCTCTTTACCTGGGCAGGTGCTCTGAGCAAGTGTCGTCTGCTCGCAGGCCAGGGACTCTGGTCCCTGTAGCTCATCCTGTTTTCCTCTTTCTTCGACCTGCAATGGCTGGAGACTTGGAAAGTCTTTCCAGAGAAGAAAATAGAAAGGTGGATTTGTCGTGCAGCTGTGGGGAGGCATCTTAACAGATGCCAGGCTGTGATCCAAGGGCAGCTCTGAGCTCCCTTCTTGGGCAGCTACTCAGTCAGTGTTTGTGGAGCAAATTAATTTGTAGGCAAAAAGATTCTGAAGCTATATGGAGTAAACATGAGTCCTGGATCTGCCTGTCGACTTGCCTGTGAAGAAGTGACTGCCACCCTTATGGTGATTTCCACTTCTGTGGTAGGATTTCCACAGGCCCCAGGACCCCTCGCAGATCCTGCATAAACACAGTCTGCACAGAGCCTGCTAGGCTGACAGGACAGGGAGCTGGCCACCCCAAGGCCCTGCATGCTCATCCAGGTGGGAATGAAGACCCACACTTGACTGTACTGTGCCAGCTCTAGGTCCTGAAGGGGAAACCATACAAAGCCTTTTGTCCTGAAGGAGCAGGGTCTCAGGCATTATGGCAAATGGTTAACGACTTACACAGAAAGCCCAGATAGGGGGACTGGGAAATGCTGCTGCCAATGCTGTGCTGTTGTAAGCCAAGCCCCCAGCACCCCGGCCTTAGTTTCCTCACACTCGCAGCATGTGGTGGAAGGACTAGAGAATGAGACACCTGGAGGTCCTGCACTAGTGCTCCTTCTCTACCTAACCTATGGAGAATGTGACCTCACCTGTGGAGGGGCTGCTGACTTGCCAGCATAGCCCAGGTGCTGTTTATAGCAGAAAAGGATGTTCCCACTGTGTCCCAGTCCCTGGTTGATGAGTGTGATCCCACACCCACAAAAAAATATACCTACATTTTTTCTGGGAAAAGTCATGGAGGAGGCAAAACATGCTCTACTGAGACAGAGCCTGGGGTTACAGAGGGCTGCAGAGAGATGGCAGGGAGTAGCCCACCTCTGGCCAGCACCACCTACCACCCTACTCTGTCCACCCAGTGGTGGAATCATGACTCACCCAAGTAGGAGACCTGGGTAGCACCCTTGCCCTGGAGGTCCTGCAGCTCGGGAACACATGGCTCGTTCTCCTCACCCTGGGAGAGGTCCTGCTGGGCTGCTGGGTCACCTGTTCACAGAAAAGGGGAGGACACACATTCCTCAGTGAACTAGAGGGATGCAGGCCAAGCCATGGCAGTGACAGGGTGATGCAGGGCTTCAGAGAAACTGAAAGGCTTGAGCAAGCAGAGAGGGCAGGGAGGGGCATACTAGTGGGGAAGCTATGGGCTTGGGGCAGCTGTTGGCCCATGATATAGAAAGCCAGAACTTCAGAGGCCATAGGATCAGAATGATAGAAGAAAAGTGGGGGCACAGGAACCTGTTATGTTTGGTTTCGAATGCAAAACAGCCAGCCAGTAAGCCTAATTTACATGTGATAGTGGCAGGTCAGGATGCCTCTACTAAGTGCCCTCAGTGTTGCTGTGTGCAGGTGACCTCATGTCAGGAATGGAGGGTGGTCAGCAAATTCAGATGTGGGCCCCCAGCTCCCTGGTCTCAGGAGAGGGTTGGAAGGGCGTCTTACTTGGAGGCAGTGAAACCCCACAGTCCTCTCCAATGATGAACTCCCCGTAGAAGCCAGTCTGGGCAGGGTCTAGAAGGGACCAGTCCTCTTCCGAGAAACAGAAGATCATGTCCTCGAAAGGAGAAACCCGTTTCTGAAACCGCAGAACAAGAGGGACGCCTTAGTCCATGGACAAGCTAGGGA